TCTCCTCTTTCACTTTCATCAAGAGGCTTTTTAGTTCCTCTTCACTCTCTGCCATAAGGGTGGTGTCATCTGCATATCTGAGGTTATTAATATTTCTCCCGGCAATTTTGATTCCAGCTTGTGCATCTTCCAGCCCAGTGTTTCTCATGATGTACTCTGCATACATGAGTTTAAAAACAAAAAGAAAGGTGCCCTGTCTGGACAGCCAAACCGCTCAGGCCTGAAAGCCATTCAACTAGATAAGAGGGTCTAGCAGGAGTCAAGTTCTGGCCATGCCCAAGTTTCTTAGTGAACAGAGAGATGTGGCCTGTGTAGGGTAGGATAATCAGAGTTAAGGCTGGTAAGGTAGACCCAGAATGTGCAGGGCTGACTGTCAGGATAATTTCAACTTTTAAAGAGGATAGGTTAGTGCTGTCCTTTTCTTCCTTTGTAATGATAGAGTGTGTACTGGACATTGTGCACAGTGAGAATGTGTTAGTCGCTCAGTCACATCCGCCTCTTTGCAATATCATGGGCTGTAACCCTCCACGCTCCTCTGTCCGTGCAATTCTCCAGGCAAGAATATGGAGTGGGTTGCCATTTTCTTCGGGGAACTTCCTGACCCAGGGATTGAACCCAGGTCTCCTGTATTACAGGCAGATTTTTTACCATCTAAGCCCAAAGAGATTAGGTGGAGATAGATAACTGATCTTGAGTTTAAGAACTCTCCTAAGACACACAAAGTATCCCTTTTGGAATTAGCATAAAGGCAAGGAAATGGCAACCCACTCCAGTATTCTTGCCTGGAGAATTTCATAAACAGAAGAAACTGTCAGGATACAGACCATGGGGTCGCAGAGTTTGACACGACTGAGCAACTAACACACACAGGGTAAACTGTAAAAAAGTGGCTTCTCAGCTGGAATGTGAAGGATTAGGTGGTATTCGTAAGAAAGTGTTATTTCAGAAGAGGGAAACAAGTGAGCAAGTCAGGAGCCCTGAGGGTGCCAGACCTAGCTGGAGACAGGTCATCAAGTGTGGCTGGAGTGTGCCAGAGGCAGGAGCCAGACTTGAACGACCCTGAACACCATTCATAGAGCTCTTTTTCTGTGGGAAAGGGCTTCTCTGATAGCTCAGTTGGTTAAGAGTCTAAGTCTACCTGCAGTGCAGGAGACCCCGGTTCAATTCCTGAGTTGGGAAGATCCGGTGGAGGATAGGCTACCCACTCCGGTATTCTTGGGCTTCCCTTGTGGCTCAGCTGGTAAAGAATCTGCCTGCAATGTGGGAGACCTGGGTTGGGAAGATCCCCTGGAGAAGGGAAAGGCTACCCACTCCAGTATTCTGGCCTAGAGAATTCCATGGACTGTATAGTCCATGGGGTCAGAAAGAGTCGGACATGACTGAGTGACTTTTACTTTCTGTGGGTAAAGCAGCTGCTTGATCAGATCTGCAACTCTGCAGATGAAGCAGTATTTTTCATAGCTGTGACAATTCACTTGCTGAGCAGGATCCCAGTGTAAGAGTTGAAGCACAGGTAATAAGTATACAGAGAAAGTTTCAGAGAAAAGTGGCCACACTTCCTTGAGGACTGGCCAAGGGATCAAGAATTGTGAGCCTGTGGTCAATGCTGTTTCACCTCTTTGGAAGTGGTACTGCTAGCCCAGTGTGTGTGTGTGTGTTGCGGGGTGGGGAAGGGTTCAACCTGGTGGGGAAGGAGGGAGTGGTTTTGGATCCTGGTCCCAACACTCCACAAAGACCTGTTAGTGAAGGTGTAGCTGCTGCCACTGTCACTCCCCACATGAGCACAAGCTAAGAGCTGTTCTAGCAGAGAAAATGGCATTGGAGGTGAGGATTTGGGGCAAAAGTGTGTGTGAGGCATTTCTGGCAAAACTGTTACAATAAAATCTGAATTCACAAACAAGATCCGTGGTGGGGAGCAGGGGATGAAGTAGTTTGCTTTACACAAGAGTTCATTCTTAACACTCAAGTACTTTGGCAACACATCCATGCCCACTGAAAACTCAGATCCAACTTATAAAACTCCACCTTTACTTTATCCCCCCCCTCCTTTCCCTGACAACTTCAGTCATCCAGGCTATAGGTACACACACAATCCACAAAGGCCTCAAGACTTCCTGATAGCTTCTCACATCAGCTGCACAGAGGCCAAGTCCTATCCCTCCAACTCACCCGTCTTGGAAGCAGGGAAACTGAGACACAGTGTGGGAAAGGGGTTGTTCCGGGTTTCCACACTGGCGTCCTGTTAACAGGAGGACATGGCACAGATGCTACTGTCATACAGACCTACGCTTTAATCTTGTGTGTGTGTGTGCTGTCATGTCTGACTCTTTGAGACCCAATGGACTGTAACCCACCAGGCTCCTCTATCCATGGAATTTTCCAGTTATAGAATGCTGGATCATGTTGATGTTTGACAGAAAACAACAAAAGTCTGTAAAGCAATTATCCTTCGATTAAAAAAAAGAATACTGGAGCAGGTTGCCACTTCCTACTCTAGGGATCGAACCTGAGTCTCTTGCATCTCCTGCATCGGCAGGCAGAGTCTTTACCACTGCACCACCTGGGATCCTAGTTGGCCAAACTGAGCTCAGTGGAGTCTCTTTGCTCTTCTGGCTTTAATTCATCATCCATAAAATGGGCTAATAGTTCCACTTAGCATTGCTGACAGAATTAAGTGGAATCAATGCCAACCTCTTGTGGTAGCATGTGCTTAGGAAGGTTAATGACTAAGGCAAACTACAATGCCTCCAAGAGTACATCCTTCACCCTCACGCCCCACCCAGATGAGTAAACCATCAATCAACACACTGACTCTGTGTCCAAATGTTGCTTTATCTTTCGGCAGGAAAGATTTTCACAGTATCAAAAGTAAAGAATTGAAAAACAAGTAAAACAAAAACAAAAAAACCAAACACAAAAAGAGCAGTGTTGGGCCAGCAGTACCATCAGCCCCCAAGCCCACAGGCCAGCCCAGCCCCCGGGCTCTGAGTGTGGGGGCTGCGTAGCACCAGGAAGCAGCTCTGCGGAGGTCCTGAGGGGCCCCAGCATGAACAGCATCTATTCAGCTTTTGGTTGGTCCAGGATGGTGGAGCGGGTAGTGGGGTCTTGGGCAGGTAGGTGGGGATGTGATGGAGAAAACTGTAGACCTTCGGCTGGCAGTTGGGGTCTCAGGACACCCTTAAGCAGCTGGATCTGGCAGGGGCTGAGAAAACAGAAGAGTATGGCCACATGGTGAGAAATGGCCCCAAGGCAGCCTCCCTGTGCTGGCTCCGAGTCTCCAGAGGTCCCCATGGAGGCAGGAACAGTTGCCTGCTCTTTCTGTCTGCTGGGCTGAAAACAGCGAACAGACTTTCCCCATCACCTCCAGCAGAGGACGAAGGTTAAGACAGAACCCCTGCCCCATTGAACATCATCCTAAATCTCAAGGACTTGGACAACACTATAGGAACGCAGAGCACCCTGCTGTAGGCGAGGGTGGAGGAAGAGCCCTGCCTCTCCCGTTGATTCGTAGAGGTCGCCTGTGCTCTGACTCCCGCCTCAGGCTCCAGGTGCCTGGCCCAGGCTGGGCCCCCAGCCTGCACCAGCAGTGCTCCCTCACACACTCGGGGCTCACAAGCAAGGCTACGAGAAGGGTGGAGAAGGTCAAAGGAGGGCATTTATTGGTGGGGAGCACCCCCATCTTGAGAAAGAGACCAGTCAAGAGGGAGAAAGAGAGAAGATGGCTGGATGAGGTTTCCTACGTAACAGGGGCACTGGGCTGGGGGAGGCAGCGTGACTTGTTTTCTCTCAAAAGTGGCAACAGATGAAGGTGCCTGGGGTTCTGGTAGCCCCTGGCTTCTGTGGAGGTGGTGAAGAAAGGCAGGATGGCACTCTGACCCTGGCAGCAGCTCCTGGGGGGCGCGGACATACCATGCCAAAGGACCACGGAGCCCAGGCCCACAGAGCAGCGGAGCTGAGGCGAGCCCGAGGACTGCCCTGACCCTGAGTTAGTGCCAACGTGACCAGCCTACAGGGAGCCCAGCCCTGAAGGCTGCCCCCGGGAAGCAGAGACTAGTGTCAAGGGTTGGGGGATCTTGACTCAAAAGGGGACTCAGGGACTCAATCAAGGTCCAAGAAGTCTGCTGCCCTGGCACTGGGAAAAGGAGGAAGAGACAAAAGAGGACATCCTCTTGAGGGGTGAGCTCAGCCCACACACCCCAGCTCCCTACTGCCTCAAAGGCAGCTGTATGCTTGCCAGCCTGAAAAGGCCCGGCCACGGGCACACAGCTTAGGGTGAACTATGGCACTCTACAGCCATTAAGCCCCAAGCCCAGGACCAAGGCTGCCAGTCAGTCTTCTCTTCTGCCTTGGGGCCCTGCCCAGCCCAGCCCACTGCCTTCTGTTTTCTGTTTTTAGCCGGGAACAACATCTGATATGTCAATATTTCAGATAAAAAGACCTATGCAGGTGGCTGGGAGGGGAGACCAGAGCCCAGCTGGGGGCCAGGCTCTTCTTCCAGGAGGGAGCTTCAGTACCAGTTTCCTCATGGAACCCATCCTGTTTGAGGAAGAGGGCCCACCTAGCCTCTACACCTAAATGACCTCCAAGGCCTTGGTCTAGCGGGACTGCCCTCTCACTGTTCTCTTGCGGCTGGGTCCATTTTGCATGGCTTCAGCTGGGAAGCACCTTGGTAGCCTGCATGGAGGAGCCAGGCCAGGCCAATGAGATTCAACCCAGAGGCCGATAATGTCAGGGGTGGGGGCCGCCCTCTAAGGCCCATGGCCCCCTGGGCACTTTGGCAGGCAGCTGGTGAGGGAAGCTAGAGGCCTGGCAGCGACACCCCAGGGGATGGCAGTGCTGGAAGGGCCCGACAGGAGGGCCCTCAGGAGAGGAGATGGGGCCGCCAAAGCACCTAGTCCAACTCCCTGTGCTCCAGAGCATGAAACGGCCTGGCAGCGGCACAAAACGTGGCAGAGCATGGGAAGAAGGGGTGCACAAAACACTTGAGGGGTCTCGATACCTCACTGAGCTGTGCTGGGAGTGGTTTTCTTGAGGCTGAAGTTGGTCCAATTCACAGCAACTTTCTGACGCGTCTGCTTTGCAGAATCCAGACAGAACCTGTCGGGTTTGGGAGATGCCCAGGCAGGGGGTGGGGTGGGGGCACAATCCAGAGGTTCTCTCTTCTCCCCACTGGACCTGCTTCCAGACCTGTGAGCCCTGGCCACTAAGGAAACCAGGTCAGCTCTGTACAACCCCTCGGACCCAGGTGTTTCGGTCTAACAGTAAGGGGCTGCCCGGGTGAGGTACCCACACGCCTAAGGGGCACTGTGTGAAGAGAGTGACCTGCCTTAACATACAGCCAGCCTCCTCACCCTGGATTTTACTCTAGCTAAACTGGGATGCCTTCTGTTCCTCCCAGGATGATGTATTTCTCCTGCCCTCAAACCCTTTTCATTTTGCCTGGCCCATTCATTCCTATTCCTCAGGTTTCAGTCTGGTTACCGCCTCTTTGGGGAGGGCTGCCCGGGCCACCCCATCCTTCAGCTTGGCCATTCCTAGGCTCTAGCCCCATGTCTTTACTCCTCTAATAGCTCTTATCACTGGATTGTATGTATATGGCTTTCTCCCCCAACCTAGATAAGACTGCCCCCAAAACTCAACCGAGGCAGGAGCAGAGAAATGCAGGTGAATAAAACTGGAGAAAGCCCTCGTCTTGGGGCCTGACATCCCTCCTGCTCCCAGTCCCTTGCACCTTCCCAGATGATCCATCCTGGCTACCTGTGTCCCAACCTGGGGCGGGGGAGAGGGGCTGGAGTCCACCGAGTGGGAGAGCAGGCAGCCTCACACCTACCTCTTGAAGTACTCCACCTCCCGGTCAGTCTCATCCATCTCCACCCCATCCATGTCCTTGGGCAGGAACACATCGTCTAGGAAGACATAGCCAGGAGGGCTCAGTGCTCACAGCAGCCTCTGGGTCATGCTCCTGGGGCACTGCTGCTCACAGGTAAGGGCTGCCCTCCACCCCGTGGCCTGGCTGGGTGGGGGCCGATCAGTCAGTCAGTTCCTGGTGCACTCACCCAAGGAGGCGGTGGACTTCTCCTGCTTGTTGCGGCTCCGGCGGCTGCGGCCCTTGCCCTGTTGCAAGGTCTGCGGCCTTGCTGGGCCTGGGGGGTGTCCAGACTCCTGCTCCAGAGGCCGTGCCTTGGCTTCACCTGGCCAGTTTCGCCAGGAGCTGCCCTTCTCCTTGTCAGCTTTGGGGCTGTCAGCCCAGCCTGGTCCTGGTCGGGTCCCCTGGCTCCCTTCTCCAGCTTCAGCACCGCTGTCCACTCTGGGAGGCTCTGGGGCCTTGCTTGGCTGCTTGGGGCTAGGGGCCTGGCCCTTGGCACTGGGAGTCTCAAGGCAGGCTGGGGGCTGGGAAGCTGGGCTCACCTCGTTCTTCTTGGCCTGACTACCCTGTCTCCTGCCCTTCCGTGGCTTCCCACCTGAGGCCACAGGCTCAGACAGCTCCTGCTTGCAACCAGGGGCCTCCTTTATGCTTGGCTCCTCAGAGCCAGGGTTACCTGGCTTGGGTGTCTTGACCCAGATCATCCGGGACAGGTTGGGCACGGTGTTGAGCCTCCTCACTAGCCCATTCTCAGGGATACCAGGAGGGGGGCCCTTCACTTCTGTCCATGGTGGGTGGGGACTTCTCATTTCTGCCCATGGTGGGGCTGGCTCTCCTGGAGCTTGCAACATATGGTTCTGAGGGGAGCCCAAAGTCAAAGGGGACAGGTCAAGGTTAATGTCAGGCCTTTGTTCTGAGGAGCCACTGGGGTTTGAGGGGGCTAGACTCTGAGGTTTTGGCTCAGTGGCCCCTTCCTTAGAGAAGCCATTGCTGTCCACGCTGAGCTCACACATACTGAAGCTGGCACAGATGGAGTCCTTGACAGTGTTCTTGATCTCCTGTAGACGGCTGTTCAGAAAGCTGTTGACCCGATCCAGCTCCCGATCGGGCCACCCCAAAAGACTCTCCCTGGCAGGCCTCAGCTCCCGGCTTCCAGAAACACTACGATTTGCTTGCTTCAGAGCTTCCGCTGCCAACTGGGCCTTCTCCTTTTCCTGCCAAGACAAGAGGCAGTTTCAGCAGGGGCTTGGCAGCTGCCAGGCACAGTGTGACACCCGACACGTCTGCTTCCAGCCCAGCTTTGCCACTAACTGGCTAGAAGCAGGGCCTGGCAATCCTGGCCTGCTCACCCTACAGTAACAAGGATGAAATGCAATCCAACAGGTACATGTGTGGGGATGGAGGCATTTACACCAACAGAGGGTAGGGTTTTTACATCTTGTTCGTCCAGGGCCCTAGAATCAGTCCTAGGGCATAAAAGGGTTATAGATCTCCCTCCCAGGCATAAGCTTAAGCAATTCACTCACTTGCTGAGTCGCAGTGGACTCATCTGCAAAATGGGGACAGTAATTCTGGAGTGAAGACCAAAGTGGGGATATGTGTAAGGAAGATTACTATTATGGAGGCATTCTCTTCAATTCTGCAGGTGGCAGGAGAAAAAAAGCCATGACAACATGTAGGTCTTCCAAGAAGGAAGATGTGGGGCTGTGAGATACCATGGTAGATCAGACTGTTCTGGGTGGCTGGGAAATGTGTGTGCCCTCCTGAGGCTGCCTATGGGTGCTATTGGAGAGGGCCAAGTTCCCATAGGAAGGCTACTCACTGCTTAGTTGGCCTCAAGGAATCAAAGGCACACCTAAAGCATGCCCAGTGGCAGACAAGAGGTCCCACAGCAAGAGGTAAAAGCAGCCCCTTTGCCCAGGTGAGGACCAGGAGGCTGAGGGAGGCTGGACTCTGCCACCCAGCATTGACAGTCAGATCGGGAGAGTGAAAGCAAGTCTGTGGGCTCTGAGTCACCCCACCCCTAGCCTCTGGCACCAGCTCTGCCCCAGCCTCAAGGCACCAGCAGGTTGAGGAGGCCTTTAGAGGGAGACAGGAGAGTTTTCAAAAGCCAATGGGAATGAGGTGGTAGTGATGTGCTAGGGGCCAGATGACTTCACTATCTCACCTATTTACAGCTGATTTGGGAATTGAGGGGGAGGAACAGGAAAAGTTATGTGAGAAGAGGGCTTGCCACCACAATGTCAACTTAAGAGGGCGACCCTCTGCCCCAGGGGGCATACATTTATTCTCTCATCTTTTTAACAGGCTGGTTCTATAGCTGACTAGGACCACAACTGTGGAACCTTGGACAAATCACTTATTCTCCCTGAACCTTACAATCTCCATTTATAAATTTGGGAGAAAAACAACCAACCTATATATGTCACAGGTCACCATGAGGACACCTCAGTGGGTGTGTGTCCCTTTCCCTGGGCAATAATCAGGCTGTGCCCTGGGACAGTGGTGCTCAGGTGAGAAAGGAACTCAGGTCTGGAGCAGCTGTAAGCCGTGGAGTTCAAGGCTACAGGCAGAGCTGAGGCCATGGCGATGGACAAAGAACGGGAAGGCCCTTCACTCTGCTCTTCCTTTGTGTCAGAACAGCTCTGCTTTCATTTGTTAGGAATTGAGGGCCTGAGGACAGTTTCAATTGCAGAAAGGACTTCTGCTGCTATGCAAGTGCGAAACGATTGGTGTAGAGGGAATGTGGAATCATGTATAATTTTGTAATGAGAGAAGGAAAAAGCATGGAACCGCACATTTTTGCTAGGTGCCATAAGCCTGGTACCTTCCCACGTTGTCTCATTTGATCCCCACAACTGCCCTTGCTGTGTCATTATCCTCAGTTTATAGATGAGGAAACTTGACTGTGGAAAGAGTTAAGGAACTGACCCAAGATTACATGCTAGTTAAGTGGTGAGTCAGGACAGCATACCCAGGGGTGATCTTCATGTTTTTAAGTATCATTTGACAATCATTTCTTGACCTGTGACTCTTATATGAGGCACTGGGCTGGGCTCTGGGAACTCAGCTGTGCATAAACAGTCTCTGTTCACTGACTTGAGTCTGCTGAGGGAGATGGATGTGCAAACAGGCTGTTTAATTCTGAGTGACAGTGTGAAAAGCAACAGGGGAAAAAGCACGGGGTGATTTGGGGACCCAGACTGGGCCATCAGGAGGTGCTTCCCAGAGGAGGCAGTATCTCACTGAGCACTGAAGGGTAAGTGGGATTATCCTGGGAAGTGTGAGACAAACATATTCTAGACAAAAAGTAGAAGAAAGGCTGGGAAATGGGAAAATGCAGAATATTTAGGGAATGCAAATACTTAGAAGGACAGCTGGAGCACAGATCTCTTTTGGGTGGAGTAGAGTGGGCAGAAAAGCCAAAGGGGCAGACTGAGAGATGAAGCTGGCAACCTAAGCAGGGGCTAGATCCTCAAGAGCCCCACAGGCCATATTTGATCCTAGATTTGCGCCTATAGGCAATGTTCAGTCACTGAAGGCTTTTTAAACAGTGCCAGTAGGGTGGAAAGAAGTGGATGGTGTGAGCTACTGGAGAGTGTCACATGGCCAGGACTGTTCGGTGACGGGTGGGGGAGAGAACAAGATGAGTCATGAAAACATCATCAACCATCACTACTGTTTCTGCAGCAACTACTCTGCTCACTCTGCCCAACCTTTCTGTGCATCACTCCATTTCATTCTTGCAAAAGCCGTGAATTAGGTTCTACCGTTATTCTCATTTTATGGAGGAAGAAACTGAGGCTTAGAGGTTAAGTGATTTGCCCAAGGTCATACACCAAGTACAGCAGAGCCGGGTTTCAAACTGGTCCAATTGCAAGGCCTGCTGCTCTCCATCACCATGATGCAGTCCTCCCCAGATGGCATCTGGGGTTCTGGTTGAGACAACTGGGTGAATGGTGGTGCTATTAACTAGACAGACAACGGAGAAGCAAGAGTGGGCTCTTTTGGAGAAAGGTGACAAGCTCAGTTTGGGATACGCTGAGTTTGGGTACCTGTAGAATGTCTGTGAGGAGGTACCCATCAGTGGTAGGATATGTTACTGTGAAGAGCAGAGGGAAACAGGGAGACATAATGACCTGGGAGGAACACTATCTAGATGGCTCTCTCCCAGGCAGCTGTCTTAAAGGGGGAGGGCCAGGCAGAGGAAGAGGTGCTCACAAAGGAGACAGGACAGAGGGCAGAGAGGAAGTGAGAAATGTAGACAATGTGGCCTCCCCTTTCCCCTTCCCTGCCCCAACTTGAATGAGGTTGGAGGGGCCAAAGAAAACAGTGTTTGAAAAAGAGAACAAAGGGTGAGATGCTGCCTAGCGGAAAAGAAGATGGAACAGGAGAAAATGATTTGGCAACAAAGAAGTCACTAGTGGCTCTATGCAAGAGTGGAGGTAGAAGACAATCTGCAGTGAGCTGACAGGAGTAAATGCAGATGACATTTGTGTGTGGTCAGGAACGAGACCGGGGTGGTTAAGAGAGGCTGTACGCTCAAATGACAGTTTGCTTTCAAAAAACAGAGTACTGGGCACAGTGAGAGGCTGGAGCCACACAGCAGGAAGTGGTATTAGACTGAGGAGGCAGGAAGGACAGCACACGCTTTAGGTAGGAAAAGGACTAACTCCTCCTTCATGCAAGAAGGAACTCTGCAGGACAGTGCCTCTCCACTGGTTTTTAATCCTTGTTCAAACAGGAAGTGAGTTATCTGCCAAAAAGTAAGGTGGGAGTGGGGAGAGTCTGGCAGCTGGAGCAGAATGGAGGTCTAACAAAGGGGCTGGGGTGAATGGAAATGATGAGGAGTCAGAAGACTAGAGAACAGCAAAGTGGGGGCTCAGGCAGGTGGGAGACCACTTGGCCAGGGTGCCAAAGACAGATTCAATCTAGCACCTTCCTCAAGGTGTAGGAGAGAGGCAGGCTCAGGCTGAAGCCAGGACTGTGGTTTTTCTAAGTGGGTATAATGGAAGGACAATGAGGAACTGAGAGGATTGGTAGGAGAGTGAATGAATGATACTCAAGGGATCTCAACTGGACTGAGAAAAGAAGGAAGACAGGTGACAGTCTTCAGTGGATGAAGAGGAATAGTGGTGGAGGTCACAGATGACAGACCCAGGGTTGGTTTCAAAGGAGCAAGGGTTAGGACATTAAAGAGTCAGGGTCTGGAAATGGTATGAGGGAACAGAAAAATACCCAGCTTTATCTGTCTCCCCGGGTGGGTAGTAGGTAGATGGCTTTCGTGGTGGAAGCTGTGTTTTTGGTGGATTGTAGTTAAATCTGGGAGGTGATGGAAGGGTACTGTGGAGGAGGCAGATGTAGAAACAGATAATGACCACGATCGCTAGTTACAGGACATCAGAACTGCCTACTCTGTGTTGTATCCTGGCCTCTGTAGTGGGTGGGGCAGATGGGAGTGTGCAGGCAGTTTCTGAACTGCGAATAGAGAATGATAAATGGCAGACTAGAGAGATGTGTGAGATGCAGCCACAGCACAGTGGATGTCACCCGAGGAAGACTGCGAAGGAGGAAACATCTGAACTGGCCTCGGGAGGAGGTTTTTAGAAGGAAAACGAGGGGGCAGAGGTTGAGGAGAAAGGATATCCAGGCAGAAATTTATGAAAAACATACCAGGCCTGGGAACTGTGATGTGTTCCCTGGGACCTAACTGGGAACCACAGCCTTGGGAGGCCAGGAAAAGGCCAGAGAGACCACTTCTGCCCACTGCATACTTCTGGCCAGGCAATGCCGGCAGGGAGACAGCAAATGCCGACCATTTTCTGAAGGCAGTGGTGAGACCCTTTGGTTTACTACTTCAGGGTGCAGGGAAGGGGTCCTGATTTATCCTTTGGGCTGGAAAAAGAGGGAGAAGCACTGCTGTTTTCCAGAGCATTAGGGCTGTTTGACCACCCAGGACCTGGAGCTAGCTGGCTGTCAAACCCATTCTCTTCAGCTGCTGAGCTCCTGAGTGTGGAACTGTGCAGACACAGTTGGGGGCAGGCAGGCTAAGAGGTAATGAGGTGGCAGGGGACGAGCCATCAAGCTCTGCTGCTTGCCTGGTGGCAGGGCTGCCGGGAACAGTTCCCCTGGTTCTGTCCTCGGCCTTCTGGGAGGAGTTCACTCAGTCCTCAGGATGGGTCATTCCCATGGCTTCAATTACATCTCCATGCCAGCAACTCCCAGCCCCACATTGCCATCTCCACTTGGACCTCTCATGAGAATCTCCGAGTCACTGTGCCCCAACTGAATTCCCTGTTTTCTGCCAATTCCACCTGTGCTCAGTAAGGTATGCCATCCTGCCAGCCACCCTGGCAAACACCTAGGAGGTATCCCTGACTCTATCATCTCCTTGTCCTGTAATCAAGAGATCACCTGCCTCCTCTGAAAACTGCTCCAGGCCCATTATCGATCACCTCTCCCCTGGCTCTTGGTCTCTGGCCCGGAGTATCACTCCTTCAGGCTACCTTCCATATTGCTACACAGTCATCTTGGGAAGCACATCTGGTGAGTGCATTGTGTGATTAAAGCCCTTGGGTGAACCCCCCTCAGCTGTAAGATCAAGTCAGAGCTCTTCAGCAGTACCGTTCCCTCACCTCTATTTGTCTGCCTTCTCCTGGGTGTGAGCTCTGGCTTCAAAAACTGCTGTGGATGTGCTATGCCTGTTGCCAGGAGGGTCCTCCTGATGAATCTATACTCACTCTCTACAACTTGGCTCCTCAGGCAGCCTGGTGGTCCAGCCATTTCCAGTGCCTCAGGCAGGATGGGGGCTTCCCTCACCCCAGCACTTGTTGCACACTAATGTGCCTGTCCAGTGTTGTTTCTCCACTGGACCAAGCTTTTCTAGGGTAAGAACCTAACTGCATCATATTTGGCTCCAAGTACTTGCAGATGTGTTTGCTGAATGAACATATGACTGACTGACTGACGCAAGTCCTAAGATTTGAGGAATCCAGCAAGCGGCTTCTGACGCCAGGACTTGTTTTTCCTCCAATCACTGGTACCCTGGCTCCCTTACCCCGATGCCTCCCAAACTCATTCAGACCTTCTCAGAGAAGACAGCCCTGCCAAGGCCTTTGGCAGCCAGTACTATTCATGCCCGAGAAGTCCTAGGAGTTGGGGGTGAGGGATTCCTCGGGGGAAAAGAGGTGGTAGAGCTGGTCTCCCCCCACACCCACCTTCTTTTTCAGCTTGTGCCGGGCCCGCTTGGCAGCCCTGGCGCTGTTGGGGACTTTGGGCTCCGTGCTGTTGATGAATTCCAGCAGCTCATCCACATCTCGATGGTCCACGGCGGGCTCCCCAGGGATCCCGCCCAGGGCGCCCCCCTTCATGGGCAGCTCCTCTTTGCGCCTGGTCAGCCTTGAGCGAAGCTTCTCTCGGATCTCGGTATAATTCCGACTCGTCGGGGCAGCGGGTGGCTGGGGGAGGGGAGGTGCTGACGTTACACCCTGGGCCTGGGAAGCCCGGAGCACTCCCACCCGCGGGCACCAAGCATGTGGTGAGAAGCAAGACAACTGTTCTTTCTACCACAGCCACAGAGGCCAAATGGCTTCACCCTCAGCCAGGCTCGGAGCCAAGGCATCGGGGGGCGGAGGAGTGGGAGGTATGCAGCAGTGCTGCGAGCACGCTGACTTGGGAGCCAGGAGCGCAGGTCTGAGCCCAGGCTTCGTCACTCGGAAGCTGTATGACCTTGGGCAGGTTCACTGAGTCTTTGTGAGCCTCGATTTTGTCATCTCTAAAATGAGGATAACAACTTCTAGCTCAAAGGTGACCAGCAACATAACTGTTTGAATTTCTTCTGTCCTCAACTGCTCTCCCCTAGCCAGAGCCCTTTCCTCTTCACCTTATGAGACTTCTGAACTGCTTTCTCCCCCTGTCCAGAGACAGCCTGTACTCTGCTCTGAGCCTCCTTCCTGGTGCCATCTGTGCTCACGGCCTGTCCCTTGGCTGGCTCCCACACTGGGGACTGAGAGCCTTGGCTTCCACTGCCTTCATCACGCACAAGCCTTCACTTCTCTGTGATTACGCACATTACGTATACATACTCATCAGAATCATAGCTTTCCTCTGCCACTTCCTTTCTTTTTGCCTAAGGAAAAAAAGTCAATCTTAAGAGAAACCATGAGAAGAGCAAAGGTAGCAAATTGTTGAAATATCTCTACCTCACCCATATGCCGTGAGGATCTAGCAAGCAGACGCTGGTGAGGACTCACAGGGTCCAAGCACAATTATTAGCTCCATGAGCAAGGGGGCCCCTGGGAAGAGCAAGGTGTTTCCCTGGCTCCCCTCGGCTGGCCCCCAGCCTGCTCTGGCCTGGGAAGGCTCACTCACCGCATTGTGGCCGAAGAACTCACAGTAGCAGCAGTCACAGAACTTCCCATCTCGCTGGTGGGTGGAGGATGAGGTGCAGGAGCTACGCTCTGAGCTGCTGTCCTCTTCCTCGCCCAGCCCCTCGTCTGCCTCGCATGGCTGGGGAAGCTGGCACGTCAGGCCACTGTGGGTAAACTTGTGCCCCTTGCACCCAGGGTCCCTGCTGAATTGGGAGAAAAGACAGGCCCAAAGGTGAGGAAAGGCAGGGTAGGAGCACGCTGTGAGGAGCCTGGGGAGCAGCCGCACCATCGCCTTCATCTGCCTCATCCCACAAAGACCAAGGCAGACAGACAGAATGAGCCCCTTGTAAGAACAAGGCAACCCTCACTGTTCCTCAGGGCCCCCCTCAATGGCACTGTTCTGGAAAGTTCCCCGTGCCTCCCCTCCCCACATCTACCATGTGAGCCTTCTGGACTCTGAGGACACCAAGTATTCCTCTATCACACACTACAGTGACAGTCTGTTTACCATCTGTCTTCCAGACCAGAGTGTACATTCCCTAAAGATATGGACTATGCCACTTCTATTTTTGGGTCCCAGTGTGTACCATCACAAGCCTATACACAGTAAGTGCTCAGGAAGTAGGTGTCTGAACAGATTAGTGGGCTGATGGTTCCTTGGAACATCTAAAGGAGGTCGATGTCCTTTCATTCTCTATGGTTCCCCTCACCCTGACACTATGGTTTTGTTTTTGGCCATACCGTGTGGCTTCTGGGGTCTTAAGTTTCCTGACCAGGGATTGAATCCGGGCCCCTGACAGTGGAAGTGACAGTGGATCATGCTCAAAGGTTCTTCTGATTGAGATCGCACCACTGCACAAAGCTGCCTTAGCCATGGTGTCTTGAGGTTAGGAAAGCAAATGTGCCTTGTGGGCTATATTTTGAGCTACTGTTTGTGCCAGGTATTGTATACAGCAAATTATTTCTAACAACCCCCCAAATCCTGCAAAACATGTTTTGCCATCCCCACGCTGCAACAGAAGAGACTGAGGCTCAGGGTGCTTCACTGTTTTGCCCAAGGAGCAGCTAGGACTCACCCACCCACTGCACTGCTCTGCCTCTGGATTTCAGGAAGCACCCTGTAATATGGACTAATTTCCCAGGGTAAGGAAGAGACAGGTCTGAAAGGTCCCAGAATTCACACTAGAAGAGTCAGAGTCCTAGGTTGGCCATCAGCAGTGGGAGTGCTCCAGGGCTGAAGCCAGAGGGAGCCAGGAGGAAGGGCGGGGCAAGGAGCAGCCAAGGAGGTTCCCTGGGGCAGGAATCATTATCAAAGTGCTTAGAGGACTTTTCCTGGTGGCCCCGTGGTTAAGACTTCACACTTCCACTACAGGGGGCACGGATTCAATCCCAGGTTGGGAACTAAGATCCTGCATATTGGGTGGTGCAAAATAAAAAGGTGCTTAGAGAAGCTTAACCCCAACTGACCATTATTCATCTACTATATTAGCACAGTTAAAAATTCCTAGTGCTTTAATACTGGTGGTTACATCAATTTGGAGACCCCTTTGGAAAGCAATTTATCAATATGTATTAAGAGCCCTTCTCAATAAAATAAAAGCAAAAAATCCCTCATATCTTTTAAATTGAGAACTTTTTTCACCCTGAGATCTATTCCAAGGAGAAAAATCCAAGAGTGAAAAGCTTTAGGCAAAGACATCGTTAAGAGACATTATTTATAATGTTAAAATGTTGGGATGACCTAAATGTTCAGCAACTGGAGAAGAGCAAAGAATTTCCCAGCCTTTAAAGCTGAGGTTCAGAAGCCATGTGGGAACCTAACAGCGCTAAGTGAAACTGGACGACGAAAAACCGCAAGGACACCACCACTACCACACGGGAAAGCTACTCAAGAGAAAACTGCTAGGAGTGCTGTATCAGGGTGGTGGGATTTTTAGAGTGGGCAAATAGAAACACATCATCAACACACAACTGATTTATAAAAAGACAGATCTTCTCCAAAAAACTGTATCTTTCAAATATATATTTAAACAAACTTTCTCAGTACTTAAGAGTTAATTCTAGGAATCTACTTTAAGGACAGAACTCCTGACATTTAGGTGCAAGGATGCTTATTACAGTCTACAAAAAAATCTACAAATGCCTGAATATCCAGGAATAGGTAATGATAAAATAAATTATGCCACAGCTGTATAATAAAACATGTGGCCACTGACAAAGTTTTTGAAGAATTTTAACTAGGGAAATGATGATGGTATGTTAAAAAGTAACCACACGAAAATAATACAGAATGTGGACCTCATTTTGTTATGGATATAGAGAAACATCAAAAAAAGAAAATATGCTGTTGTGCTAAAGTTTATCTTTAGGTTGCCAGGAATTTTTTTCTTTTTTTATGTATTTAAAATTTTTATACATTTATAAATTTTCCCAAGTTTTTAAAAAAAACAAACATATTTCTTTCATATCTAGAAAAACTATAGAAAAAACATAGAGTATACCCTTTAATTTTCACCCCAAAGTTTTCCCCAAACTCTTAAGTTCAAATTGTCAGGGAGTTTGCTCTTTGTGCCACTCACCTGTGCGTGCTAGGGAGCTGCTGAGAGCTGGGTGGTGGGAGGAGGGGCCCGCTGCAGTGCCCGCTGCAGTGACCACTACAGGGGTGGCTGCAACCCGAGAATGGAGGAGGCATCTTCAGGAGCGGCATGCTGGTGGAGGGAAGGTGGGGGCTCTGACATGGCCCTGGGGTGTGGGGGGCAGCAGCCACGGCAACAGGGCATTCTGAAACCTGGGCAGGGAAATGCACTGCTGGGGTGGTGGGCAGCAGGTGCGGGTGGGGTGGTGAGCCAAAGGATCCGGGGTGAGATGGGATCAGCGGCGCTGGCTGGGGGTGGTGGCCGGTGGGGCTGTTAGGTGGAGCAGTGAGGTCTGAGTGCCGGTGGTGCTCCGAGATGGGGAAAACCTCACCTGTGGGCGGATGGGGGAGAGAGGTGTCAGAGTGGGAGCCCAGATCCTGGGAAGGAGGCCTAAGGGCTCACTGCTGCAGCAGCCTGCTTACTGTGACCAGAGGCAACATGCCTGGGCACAGTCTCTCAGCATGGTGGACCCATGAGCTTTTGGAAAAGCCTAGCGGTACCTTGGGCTGGAGAGGTTTCTCTGCAGGCAGCAGCTGGACAGGCTGAAGATGGCCAGGCCTGAGGGAGAAGGCACCAGGAAGGCCAGCCCCATGCAAGGTCATAAAACCTCTGCTGGGCATAAACAGGGGTTGTATGTTCTATCTCTGAGTGCTTTTGTACAACCTGTCTGACAAGGCTCTGCTTCTGGGCCACGTGCATCACGGTAGCCAGGATATGCCAGACTTTCGGGTGGCCCCAAATTTCAGAGGACAAGTGGGAAAGCACTTTGATGACTCTCTCTGATTCATGCACCAAACTAACTGGAATTATGTATCGCTCCACTCACAATTCTGGGGGTAGCACCCCTTTGAAGAACTTGGGTCCTCCATTTAAAAGTAGACAGTAATTCATATTTACAAAGTACAGCAATAACTCAAGATTTTTCCTTTGGGTTGCTAAGCATTATCCCAGAGTCTAAAAAAGGCTTACACAGCTGCCTAACTGGCTAATAATCAATGCAGCTCACACTGCCAATCTCATGCAGATGGAAGGGCAGTGCTTTTATAAAAGTACCCATCCCTTGGATAGAGAAGGAGACACCCAGGCCCTCTGTGCTGCTGCAGCAGTCAGGTGATCTCAGTCCGAATTCCTTCAAGGCCCTTGCAGACTTTACTTTCTCTTCAGCCAATGCTTACCAGGTCCCCTCTTGGATCCAATGGGAACAGTTATCAGAGCCAATGCCAGCAGTATTTTTCAAGTTCAGAGTTTTGGGGAAAGGATTTCTACCAAGATAGTCAAGGGCTAGATTTCCTACTTGGCTTCCACCAGGACAGTTCCACTTTTATTTAATAACCAATCTGATTTGTTTGAACAAAATGGTTAGGAAAACACAACTCTCCATTTATGGAGAGAGCTCTCTTCTGAGCTTGGAGACTCACCAGGGATTGTAGGAGGGCTCCCGAGTGAGCCACCTGGCAGGGCCCCGCTGGAGTGCGGGGAGTTCCAGAGGCCCGAGAGCTTATGTGCTGACAGGAACGAACTAGGATCCCAGTCCCCTGAGTTCCCATGGCAGGAGGAGGACGAGGAAGAGGACGACGAAGAGGAGGACGAAGAGGAATGAGAATCACCCCCACAAGACTGTGATTTGCAGGATGTGTGTGACAAGGAGATCTGGGGGAGAAAAAGGCTCATGGTAAAACAGTAAACATCAGGGCTGACCCGCTGCTGCCTTGGCTTCCCCAGGGGCACCTCCTCCTCCAGGTCCCCATGCCGTGGCACAGTTCCCACAACTCCAGGTGCAAGGGCAAACATGGGCCAGGCCTTTGCCAGGAGGGGCTGTGATGCTCCCCATGAAGTGAAATATGTGGATGTGATGAGAGATTCTGGTGGTGGCAGAGACTGCCTGTCAACTGTGGCCTTTGGGGAGTCCTGAGAGCTGCCAAGGAGAGGAAAAAGGTCTTTAAGTCAGGAGTCCCGAAGCTGAACTGATTCTGGGTTACAGAGAGGGACTAAGGGGAATGAGAAATGAGGAGTCTGACCTCTGTGATTCAGGAGATGGCAGTTAGATGGCTCCCGGGCATCTTGGAAGCCTTCTAACAGAGGCATTGCAGACCCTCAAACTGACCTTTGCCTTCCATGTCATACTGGTTGGTTTTTGAGCTGCCACAGAGCTGAAGGCAGCACAGTCACAAGGAGGGTCAGGATCTCGATCTACCAGTGCCTCCAAGCCGGCCATCACACGATGCACTGTCCTTGGGGGCTGGTGGACTGCCTGAAACCTCTCTTTTCTTCCCCCAAATGTGGGCCACAAGCTGCTAATGCTGCATAGGTGCAGCCTCTTTGGCACCTGGGCGGAGGTGCTACCTGAGGACAGCCACTTGAGCACAAGGCAGCCACAGCTCAACAGCCTGACTTCTCTGGGCAGGCAGCGCTCCTGCATTCGGGGACCCCTTCTCAGCGGTTACCTACCGCCACTGCATGTTCTCGACCTGTCTGCCTTTCATCTTCCTCCATGCTCTTTCGGCAACTCTGGCAGACCCACAGAGGCATCTCGCCTAGGAGATTCTTGACGAGCTTTGGCATGAAGTCAGGGGGCAGCTTCTCACCCTGCAACACCAGTCCGTTCTGGGAAGGGCCTTCTTCCCAGCCTTTGCGTTCCCGGTGACACAGCAGGCAGCAAGTCTGCACAGACTGGCTGGTGGTAGGGGGAACCTGTCCAACAGACAGAAACAGGGTTTCCCAGAAGGGGAAAGGCTCTGCTTAGAAACAATATTAACAATACTGATGACATCACTTATTATGTGCCAGGCACTGGGTTAGGCACTTTATTTACCCAATTTTAGTCCTTGTAAACAGCTCTGCAAAATGTGTTATTATTCTCATCTTTTTTTTTTAAAGAAGAAACATTTCAAGAAGTCAAATAAGTTGCCCAAGGTTACAGAGTTAGTGAGTGGTTGAACCCTATAGGATTTGAACCCCAGTGAGGCTGACTCCAAAGCTCATGCTCAAATGCCCTAGTGCCCCAGCGTCTCCAGATCTTGAAGGTTAATGAGTCGGCCCTTCCTGCTGTGGCATGTCTGGGAGAGGTCACAATTCTTGGGCTGTCTGTGAAGTCCACAGACCAATCCTCACCTGAAAGGAAAAAAAATGCTTTCAGTTAACGCAGTTTGGGAAACCATGTGAGTTTCCCAAAGAGCTGCACAATTCCATTAGGATCACAGGAGCACTCTGGAGGAGCTAGTCAAAGAGTATCAACTCAGCTGAAAACCCAGCTGGAGGGTAAGGCAGACCCAGGGGCTTCTGAGAGGCAGGGAGGTGTGGTGAAAAACCACTGGGTTTCAAGTGTCAGACTGACATGAGTTCTAATCCCTGCTTGACCACACATGAGCTGGGTGACCTTGGGCAAGTTATTAAGCTTCTGCTTTCCTACCTGCTGCGCAGAGCGGTTATGAGGGGTGCACAAACAAGGCAAGTGCCTAGCCCTGTGCATGTCCATAGTACAGTCCCAGCACACAGCCATCATTGCTACTGTTTTTCTCCTTTTCCTTCCAGGACAAACCTGACCTAGAAATATAAGTCTACAGGTTTTCTGTCACACTGAGGGGTAGTGACTTGAGAGACTGATTGTGTCTAATGACCTCATCAATGGCTTTCCTATATCCTGCAACTTTGCACTGCAGTCCGTTCTCACTCTGACAGTCAGGTCACTTTCTTTGGCCAACGGAATGTCAGCAAACATGCTGCCAGCATGAGCTTGAAAAGTGTGTATGCATTTCTACTTGCTCCCTTGCATGGCTGGACTTTCTCGCTCCTGCACCTCTGCCATGCCACATAAGCATGACCAGGCTAGCTGCTGGAGGGATATGAGAGACCTGTGGGGAAAACTGAGTCTTCCCAGCTGACTGGCCAGTAGATCAGATACGTGAGGATTCCTGAGATCAGCCAAGTAGGCCCCAATCAGCAGAAACACCCAGTCAACTGAGAGACTCACGACAAATAATAAATGGTATTGTTTTAAGCCACTAAGTTTTGGGGTGGTTTGTAGCACATAATAGTTAACTGATATACCTTCCAAACTTACCCACCACTAGGCAAGACATATTTGCAGAGACCTAAGCAAAGGAATAATACAAGTATCACTTTCATCCTACCAATAAAATAAATGGGTCATCTTTTTCAAATAAAATCACCTTCTCACAATAAGTTGGCATCAGGGTATCCTTAAATTTGTAATGTTACAATTACACTGACCTGGGTCCCCGGTTTCCAGAAAAAGAAAGAAAACACACAGCAGCACCAGAAGCATGCGTGTTTGAGCCTGTGCATGTGTGCTCAGCCGCTCAGTTGTGTCTGACTCTCTGCGACCCCATGGACTGTAGCCCACCAGGCTCCTCTGTCCATGGAATTTTCCAGGCAAGAATACTGGAGTGGGTTGCCATTTCCTCCTCTAGATCTTCCTGACCCAGGGGTTGAACCACGTCTCTTGGGTCTCCTGCATCTCCTGCACTGGCAGGGAGATTCGTTACCACTAGCGCCACCAGTAGCATACTGAAACATGTGGGGAATTACAAGGACCTTGGGAAAGAATATCAGAGAGAAAGAGAGAAATCTTACATATGGAACTCATGTGAGATGCTGCCTAAAGTCTGTGCCAAGAGGACAGTTCAGTGAGCAAGTCAGCTGCTTAGTGGCAGCTACAAAAGAAAATTAGATTCTAGAACCCATTTGTGGTGAATATCTCATGGTAAGGGTGAAAGGCTGATAGAGAAGTTAAGGTAAAGGAGACATGCACCCAGGAAACTTTTCATAGCTACAAGATGCCATAGTATTAATAACTCCAGGAGGAGGAGGTGAGACCAATGCCCAAGTCCTTTTCCCTGTGAGAAAGAGTAAAGTGACTGTATTTTTTAGGCAAACACCAGGATGTGCAATTTTAGTACAAGGGAGCTTCATTTTCCAGTGTTAGGTTCCAGAGTTATTACAGAAGACAAAAATCTTGGGTGAGTAAAATAATTCTTGAAATTTTTAATGTGGCCTGTAAAGTACAGTATATATGGTTTCATAGGAACAACCAAGAACGCAAATGTACAATGTAAATGACAATGTGTGGTGTTATTTGCTGTTTTCTTTTAAAAGTGAAACAATTCTTATAAGGTAAATATATGACCTGTGAGACTGTACTTGATGCTAAAGTACTTGTGGGAGGCGCTGGGGTGTAGAAGAAACAATCCTGGCTTTGGCATTAATCCTGGGCCTCCATCACTTACCAACTGTATAATGTTGGGCAAGTTCTACTTATTCTGTGCCTCCCCATCTATAAAATGGGATTAAGTTCTGACTTGTAGAGTTGGCTGTGAGCATTGTGATAAAGCACCTAGTCCAGTGCCAGGCATATATGCTACTAAACATATGGCACTAATTATGAACATGATGAGAGCAATAGGAAAAAATATTTAAAATCAGGACTACGGTTGAAAACATAGAATATACAGTCACTGTGTTTTATGAGAATGCGAGTCTCTCATATGTAATGAAGTGAAGGTGACATTCAGGCGTCTGAATCCCTGTCCTCACTCCACTAAGGAACTCTTTAAGTTCCCCAAATACTCCTTGTGCTCTCCTAAGTCACACCTGTGCTAAAGGGGATCCTCTGCCTAAACCCCTCTTCCTCCCCACCTTTACCAATAGGTAGATGAGCAGGGCTTAAATAAAGCCCAGCCTAGATCCAATCTCACCGAAGCTTTCCTAGAGATTCCCTCTTACAATTCACCTCTCTTTCCCATTTCCATACCCCCACAGCACATTGGGCCTTGGTGACAAGATTTGTGCCTTCTACTTAATTTATTTACCTGTATCTTCTGTCCCTTCTACTAGGTTGTGCTCCTAGAGGGCAAGTACCAGGTCTGATTCTTGTCTGGATCCCTCACGGTACAGCACAGGGCATGGGCTCAGCTGGGCACACAGTGGCTAAGTCAGATTTGTTAAGTATCCCCATGGCAATACAGCTGGCAGGCAGTTTGGTGAGACATTGCTTGAAACTGTTGTTTCCCATAGAAAGAGGCCGTCTTCCCACCCTGGACCTCCAACCAAATGGTTCCAATAGCAAGTGTGGAACAGTGGAAGATTGTTGGAAGACTGTATTCCTCAGGGATTATGAGACTGATTATTAATGGAAATAATGTGACTTTCCCTAGAGCTGAAATGGTGCACATGATAAATAAGATTAGCCATCAAAGGAAGTGAATTTACAGGGCAGGCTGTCTTTCTAGTTAAAGGAAGAAACACAAGGCCTGGGAAGCTAATTAAGTACAAAACTGAAGCAGGGATGATACCACCTATGTTGCATAAGGTTGCCCAGAGGATTAAGTGACATTAGAGATGCAAAGCACTTAGCTCAAAGGATCCATACAGGAGGTGCTCAATCTATTATCTAGGCTCCTGGACTGGTCTTTATTTTTTTGGTCTCTTCTTAGTAAGTCTACACTGGAAACTAGCTGTCTTGAGTTTGGTATATTAGATTCTTTATTTCTAGGCCCAGGAAGTTTTAGGGGGCCATCGTCAAAGTTGTCTTAACTCTAAGCCTTGGTGCCTACCTCTGGGTAAAATTCCCAGTGGAGCCTGTGGACTGTTCTCTCTGACATTTTCATCTCTACTTTAACTGCCAGAGAGTGTTGAGAATCCCAAGCCCTGGAGATATTATATACAGTTAATACTATCAAATTTTTGCTTTGGCAGAAAAGCTCTTGGTTTATAGTTCCCTTTAACTGCAATCTCCTGCCACTTTCCAAATTACTGGAAATCGTGACCTTGTATGCCCTATAGTCAATTCAGGCTTTCAACTAGCTGCTCTCAAGCTGTACTTTTTAGCAGCTAGCACAATTTTACAGTAATCTCACATGAAGAACATGATCAGTAAAATTCCAACCATATTTCTTCATCAGAAAGGCTGTTGGAACTGATACTTCAACCCAGCGACCCTGGGCAGCAGTTAATTATTCCTTCTTACCTCAGGTTAAATTCAGAGCCTCTCCAGATTCCAGTTTAGCCTTAGGTAAAAGATGGAGGAGTGAATGGAAAGGTTCTAGCAGTTCTCTAGATTTGGGATCTGCTAAAAAAGCTCCAAGATAGTTCTGCTTCATTCTCTGGGCAAACCCCAAATCTCTGGACGTGTGGAGTTACTCACACAGGGTATTTGTACTACAAGCACATCCCCAGAGCTCTCAAGGAGCCAAGACCCTAGACTGCGGCCACTCCCAGCCCAGGGGGCTGGCATGCACACCCATTAAAACTAGTACCTGCGCTCTCATCTGACCAGGCCCAAGACTTTTCTGTTTTTGTCTGAGAGCATTATGCTAGGACTTTCTAGTTTTTCCTGGGAAAAAAGAGATAAAGTCAAAGAAAGGGAAAGCCAATTTTTCACGGAGCATTTTTACTTCAAAGAATGACTAACTGACAAACTATGGTTATTCAAACTTGGGTACTGGCAGACATTTTCTCAGAAAATGAACAAAACAAGCCTATCACCCCCAAGGAAAACTATTCTGTATTTGTGGTCAATGATAAAAATTCAAGTTTTAGGCGAAAATTAGAATTTTGAAAAAGCTGCATCCACAACCATGAGCTTGACAGCTTCCCAATACTTAAAAGACTATATGATGAAATTGATGGTGACATTAACAAATGTTATTTTTTGATATTATAAAATGAAACAG